ATATGTGTGTACAATCCCGCTGTCGCAATTTGATAAGTACGTGCAAAATATTTAATCCACAACTGTAACCACAAAGATCAGTGAGTTCCCCAAAACATCTAATACCACACAACATAGTAATCAAATATGGGTTATTAACAGCCATGAGAACTATCAACAGTCCTAGTGGGCTAACAACACGCCATGTGGATTAACAACACATTTTATGGGTTATTAGCAACCCTGAGAACTATCAGTAGTCCCATAGACTCTCAGTAGTCCAGGAGTTATTAGCATCCCAGTTCATATATAACATCTATCAACAATTAAGACCCGGTTGGACAACACGCTCATACTACCACACAAGCAAGTATAATGAGAGGACTTACCTTGCAGTCTAGAATATAACAATGATGATCACAGACCCAATAGTCGGATTTACAAGTCACACATGCAATAAACAGGGACCAAGTCTCGATATTCATCAGTGAATACTCAAAGTGACCTAAAGTCAAACTTGGTCAAAGTTAAGGTTCAACGGTCAAAAAGTCAACAGTCAACCTACGCCCAACATAGCACACAACTATACACACCACATAGAGCACAAGATGGTGAAAACGGGGAAAATCGAAGCTACGCCTTGCGTATGGTAGATTACCTACCATGTAACGCCTGATGTGTAACTTTTCCTTTAAGCTCTTGACACAGAAAGTCAATTCTTCAAACTTTCAAATATGGACCTCTATAATGTATTAATGGATATGGTTCCAACTTTACCCATTAAGGCACTCCCATCAACCAACATCTAAACTTTATGCACTCAAATGACCAAAAATGCTAACACCACATCCATGACTTAAAGAACAAGCATAAAAGCACAACTATCCAAGTCCAACAAGTCCCAGTAGTGTTCCATATAGGTCAGAGGGTGTTGGACTTGTCTCAACTCCCAAAACACAAGCTTAATGGACTAAAAAGTGACAATTATGACAATTAACAAGATCTATGAAACCAATGAGCAAGCTAGAAGCTTTTTACTCACAATGGTCTAGGAATGAAGTAACCTTGCTGGATCTATACTTGAACCCTTCTTCAATACACTTTGTCACCACCTTGATATTCAAGATTCAACCTTTCAATAGAGAAATAAGATCATAAATGATGCCAAGGCTCAAAACAAGCAAGATGAGGCTATGGTTTCTTAAGGAATGATCTTAGGTGATGGAGGCTGGTCATGAGAGGGTTTCCTAGAAGTTAGAGCCCTTAAATAGGGCTCAAAAATCGAAGAATTAGGATTTTAATCTATCGTAATTATGTCCTGCATAACATAACCTAGGCCATGCGTAAGTCATTAAACCCGCGTTCAAAAATTCAACATATATGCCCTGCTTAGATCTCATATGCCATACACCGAGCAAAACACCCAACTTTGAATTCAACTTCAAACAACCATAACTTTTTCGTTTCAACTCCGTTTTCAGCATTCTTTATATTCACAAAAAACGTATTGAAGATCCCATAATCCTATCTAGTTACTTTTGCTTAACACATGTCAAACTAAGACCATAATATATGCAAGAAGCCCACCATATAAAATTTCCTTTTTACCTTTTGGTTCAATCACATAAATCAAGGGCTTAGATCTCAGAACCAATATTATCAACCTTCTACAAGGTTTCAGTTTTACTTCCTCAAAGCCTAAAGCCTTTACATGATCAAATACTACCCATGTACATTGAATTAAGAAACATCCCGAAACAGGGTGTTACAAAAATCATAAGTGATGTCTTAATGGATTAAGACATATATAAGGGGTGTAATTGTAGAAAAAAATGATTATTCCTAACAAGCTTCTTAAGAGAAGCTTCAAAAGAGTTGGAAGTAGGCTGCTATTCCACAACATGGGGTGAGTTATACCTCCTTTTTATACTATGTTTATGTGATGTACAACATGTGCAAGCATGTAAATGTGTGTACGTAACTGTTAATTACATCATTGTTGGATTGTTGTTTTGACACATAACTTGTGTTATGTTTTATGATGTGTATGTTTATGCATGCAAAGATTATATTAAGGGATCCCTAGGAAGATTATGTTTACAACTTGCATGGAAACAAAGATGATGATAACCGATTGTTTATCCCTCAATATATATGTAAACTAGACGAATTCCCGCGCATTGTGCAACGAAGATTAAAAATATACTGTTAAAATATTGAAAAATATATATTTAAAATGGTTACGTTATTGACATTAACTTTGAGATAATATTTTTACACTAATATATATATATATATATATATATATATATATATATATATAATTTTGAATAATAATATTCATTGACATCAACCCACATTCCTCATTAATAGAATTAAATATAATTATCTATTTAGTATTATTTTTAACAATTATTATTAATTATTTATTAATTATATTTTTACTTATGCGATCATTTTCTAAATTCAATAATGATGTTCATTTAAAATATAATTTATTTATAGCTAAATGGAATTTATAATTTGATGTTATTATCATTTAAAATTGTTATTCATTAGTTTTAAACCACTTATTATTAATAATAACTTAAAAAATACTTTTAAGAAACACTTAATATTATTATTAAATGTGAAACATACATTAAATAATAAGGTGATAAGATAGACAATTTGCATTTCAAAAGAGACTCGCATGGATAATATGACATATCATGTAATTTGATTTTATTATTTATAATTAGTGCTTATTAATTTTAAAACCACTTGTTATTATTAATAAGTGAAAGAAACTATTAAAAAACACTTATTGTTATAATTAAAATGTTAAACATATACTAAAATATAAAGTGATAACATAGACAATTTGCATTTTAAAAAAAAACTTACATGGATAATAAGGATAATATTACATATCCTTGAATTTTAATTAATTATTGTTTTGAAGCAACATGAACATACAAACATTTATACAATAGTTAATTAAATATTATATATATCATCTTCCATAACATATGATCGATAACATGAATCTAATCTAATTTACATTAAAAATTCAACCACAACATACAATGATATTTTTAAGAGAATATTTAAATAAAGAAAATACAAAAAAAAAATTAGTATATAACAAACTTACAAATTAAAAACTTCAACATAATAGTATGGCTCGAAAAATTGTTCAAAGCCCTCAAACTAACACAAAAAACTTTAAACTTGTTTTCTTTGTGAATTTTGTATGTGATTTGTATTTGTGTGTCTACTAAAAAATATTGACCTTTTTATAGTAGAGTACCCATTAATTTTTTATTAAATATATTATATAAGTTATAAAACATTCGAATTGTTAATCATTATTAAGAAACTTTTGAGTGATATTTATTAAAATAGGAGGTTTCAGATGCATGAGGTGTTTGCAAATTTTTATGGAGATTTTAAATGCATGAGGTTCAAGGAAAAATGCTAGCTTTATAAGTATGTATGATGCTTGGTTACTTATGTGACAAGCCATATATGTATTCTATTTTTATGGTGTATTATGTTATGTTATAACCGCTATTTCGAAAAAAAAAAGTTATGTTATAACTTACCAGACATATAGTTTGACATATATTTTTTTTCCCATGTGTTTAACACGTTCAGGTAGCAAGCATTAGAAAAAGAGCACTTATAAGCATCAAGGACTATGGACTAGACTTTTGTTTCACATTTATCCTTGTTTACTTAGTTATGGTCGTGCTATAAATTTAGGAACACCTGTTGATGTTTTGTCGGGAATACTTTTTAAAATTTTTGAAACTTTGGCTTTTAGTATCACTTATGTAAACTATGATATTTTTCCAAATATTTGAATATTAAATGTTTATGAATAATATGGACTGTTACAGGTTAGAAACCAAAAATCTAACCATTATAAGAAGATAATTTTGATATTGGGGTTTTCCCTAAACCTTGAATTCAAAATTTAGAGGTATGAGGGAAGAGATTATGCCTAACAATCTTTTTATTCCTCTTTCCTTTGTTTAGGATTAAGCCGGTACAAAAATGGAAGAAAATGGCCTTGAGAGAGCTCCTTTATTCTCTTCCAACATTTTTGAATGAGAGGAAACGGTTGCATCTTATTTCCTCAATATTTCCACATATGGTCCCTTTAGTTTACATCTTTTGTTAAATTTAGCTTTACTTTATTTATTTTCACATATGTGTAAAAGATTATCATAACAAGTCCTCCCCATCCATTATATAATTTTGGTAGTCTATTCCATAAATCGAGTCAACCATTTAGTCAATTTACTTTACCAACTTATCATTTTTAGTCCTTTAATTTTTAAAATATTATTATTTTCACTTCTAACTTTTTAAACTTCATATCAACTAATGATATGATTATTCCTTGATGATTTATCTATATAAATCACCTTTGGTTTATTTACTTTATTAATTTAAAGATCCTAATCTTAAATTTTAGGATGTTACACAAATTGTATGAAATAACAACAAACATTACTATTTTTTTTACTAATATAAGCAAAGTAATTTTTTTACCCATAATAACATTGTACTTGTAATCAAAATCGTAACCACATTTCTATACCAACGATTGCAATATTTAACTCGTAATATCAACATACTTACATTTACTTTACATATAATAACAATGCACTTATAATTCTTTAGTCATCATTACATTCTTTTACCAATAATAATAATAAGTAACAAATAGAATATGATGCCCATATTAATAAATATAAGTACAATATTATTATTATTTTGCACCAAAAAAAAATACATTACGATTATCCTTAAAAAACATATATAGTTTATTATTAGGTGCAAAGAATATACAAATACACATGAGTTCTCAATATACATTCTTCATATTGGTAGATAGAGTAAAATACGTTGTGATTATCCGTGATTAGCCGTAAATCACTACAATTTTATTAGAAAAGCTACACAAGATCGATATCAACTTAAATATTTAAGAATAATCGTTATGACCAATATTTGAACTTGGGTTACAACTTACAAGATGCTACTACACCCCACATACGTTTCGTGATAGCTCGGGCTTTCCTATGAAAAAGTGTCGCACTTGCCACTCGCACCTGCCGGCGATGGCCCAATCCCGTCGAGCCGTCGACTGCGGGAAAACGTAACTGAACAGCGCGTGCATGCCACTCACTTTTTGAAATAAATCTTTTTTCTGGTGGTCTGGTATTGCTAAACAGCGGCATTAAAGTTGGGAATTTTACGTTACATCAAATCCTAACCATCCATCCATCTTAGTTTTCATACATTTCAAAGATCAATAAGAAAACCACTTATTAGGTTTTTGTATGCTAACACTACCACCGTAAGTCCGTACTACACCCATTTGTTCTTGAATTTGAATTGCTAGCCTCTTTGTTATTTTCATCAAAAGAACGAAAAAGATAATTTCTTTAAAAGATTCCATCTTTTGGTATTCCAAGAATCGTATACCCAATTCAATGTTAAGGTGTTTTCTTTTCTCCCTCTCTTGTTTCTAATTGAATTGAAGGAGCAATTCTAGGGTTTTTGAGATTAGGGGTTTTCTTTCCGAAGTTGCTTTTTCTTGCGGGTCGTCTAGAATTATAAATGGAAATGGAAGAGGTTGCTGCTATTGAAGACGATAATTCAAGAAATGTCACTGGCGAAGAAGCTGTCGGCATTGTTACAGAAGGAAATCAGGCTGACATGACTGTTGCTGTGGTAATCGAAAACGATGACGGAAATGCAATTCTGGAAGCTGAAACGGATAAAACCCTTGCAGAGGATGAGAAATGGGGATTGGTAAGTGAAGAAAATGGTGTTAACAGTGAGATGAAAGATGAGGTTGGTGTTAAAAAAAAGAGGAACCGGCCAAAGAAGGGTGATCGACCAGGGCCAGAGGACAGGGTGATAGTTGTTGGTCTTCATTGCGCCAGTGCTGGTTTTGATTTTTTTAACAAGAAAGGTCGACCTTCTGATTCAAAACACAATAAGAGAAAGTTTTCTTCTTTGATCGACTTTGGTTCAAAGGAGAAGAAAAGGAGGAAGCTCATACATGGTGCTAATGGTGTTGGTATTAAAATCAAGCGTGTAGGACGACCAAAGGGTTCAAAGAACAAGAAGAAGAAAATTGGTAACGGTGATATTATTCCAGTTATGAACGGAAATTTTGATGACAACCATTCTAAAAGTATAGACGAAGGTGAGGGAGGTGAAACCGAAAACCATGGTGTTAAAGTCAAGCATGTAGGTCGACCAAAGGGTTCAAAAAACAAGAAGAAACTTGGAGTTGATGATGACATGTCAATTATGGAGTTTGGTATTAAAATCAAGACTGATGGACGAGGTAGACCAAAGGGTTCAAAGGACAAGAAGAAGAGGCGCCGAAAACGTTTACGAAATAATGTTGATGAACATGGCAATCCAATGGAATCAGTACCTTCTTCTTCATGTGGAGGTTTCAGAAATAAGTTACAAGCGAAGAAACCACGGTTAATTGTAGCAGGTGAAATCATGGCTTATTCTTCTGATGTTGAAAACGTCAAGGCAGTGGACCCTAGTAGCCCAATAAGGCCCAAACGAAAGCCCAGGAAGTCTATTGATGGGTGCGAGGGTAATTTGAATTTGAAGTGTCATCAGTGCTTGAGGAACTTAAAAAACGTCATCTTTTGTTCAAACTGCAAACGAAAACATTACTGCTATAACTGCATTGTAAGTTGGTATCCAGAGAGAACAAAAGAAGAAGTCAAGGATGCATGTCCATATTGTCGAGGGAATTGCAATTGCAGAGCATGTCTTCAAGCAAATGTAATCATAAAGGTAAATACTTTATACTTCCTTCCATCAATTCATTTTTCTAAATGTTTTGTTTGACTCACTCACATTCTCTCATGCCCACCAACTGTTTGATGATATATCAGGCTAGTCATGAAGAAGCCAATGAAGACATCAGATTGCAAAGATCGCTTTACCTGCTCAAGAAAACTCTACCTCTCTTAAAACATATTACAGAAGAACAAAGATCCGAGCTTTTAATGGAGGCTAGCATACTGGGTGTTGAATTAACAGAAGAACAAGTACCCAAAGCTTCATTTGATGAAGATGACAGAGTCTACTGTGACAACTGCAACACATCGATTGTGAACTTCCATAGAAGCTGTCCAAGTCCAGATTGCTCCTATGATATTTGTCTCAACTGTTGTCGTGAGCTTAGAGATGGAATCCAGCCTGGCGGAAGTGAAGCTGAGTCATCATTTCAGCAATTCATTGAGAATTCACAGCTTCAGGGTACAGATTCAAAAGGACAGTTTTTCGGTTGGAAAGCTGACTTTAAAGCACACACTTTTATCAACTCGTTAGACTTCCCTGCTTGGAAAGCAGAAAATGACGGTTCTGTCCCTTGCCCCCCAAAAGCCCGTGGAGGCTGTGGGAATGGAATGTTACAGTTAAGACGAGTTTTTGAAGCCAATTGGGTTCAGGAACTCGTTGAGAAGGCCGAGGGCTTAACCGTCAATTTCCAGTTGGCTGATATCGAAACTGGAGAAAACTGTTCAAGTTGTAATGTGGAAAATCATCATCATCATGGACATGGTGTAAGGAAATCGGCTTCTAGGGAGGGTAGTAGTAATGACAACAATTTACTGTATTGCCCTGATGCTATTGACTTAGAAGACAAAGATTTTGAACATTTTCAAATGCATTGGAGAAGAGGGGAACCCGTTGTGGTTAAAAATGTCCTGAAAAAGACATGTGGACTTAGCTGGGAACCAAGGGTGATGATGCGGGCTTTTAGGAATGCTAAAAAAAGGTTAAAAGAGGAAAATCAATGTGTCAAAGCTATCGACTGTTTGGACTGGAATGAGGTAACTTTTATATCCATATTCGTATCTTTTAAGTAACTTATAAACAAATGTTTGAAGTAACTTATAAACAATGTTTTTGGTAGGTTGAGATTCATTTGAATCAGTTTTTTAGAGGGTATGTAGAGGGGCGTAGGCATGGAAATGAATGGCCAGAGATGTTGAAGCTTAAAGATTGGCCACCAACAAATTCATTTGATGAGTGTTTACCAAGGCATTGTGAGGAATTTATTGCAATGCTTCCATTTAGTGATTATACACATCCGAGATCTGGTCTTTTAAATCTTGCTACAAAGCTTCCGGATGGTTCTAGAAGGCCGGATTTGGGTCCTAAATCTTATATTGCTTACGGGTTTCCGGAAGAACTCGGTAGAGGCGATTCGGTTACAAAACTACACTGTGACATTTCTGATGCTGTAAGTAACATAATTTGTGATTTTTTTTAAAAAAAAAAAAAAAAATTATATATCAATTCAGTTGTTGGTTTTCATGAAATGAATCTGTTGTTTTTGGATCAGGTAAATATATTATTACACACAACTAAAGTAAAAGTTTCTTCCAAAGAGCTTAAAAAAATTGATGAAAAGCGAAAGGAATACAAAGCTGAAGATACGGGTCCCGTGTCAAGTATGAGTCCACTTAAAACAGAACCTCCACCAACAGATTCATGTAATGGTGATTCTTTGTGCATTAAAAAAGAAAAAGAAGAAGAAGAAGATGTTGATGAAAGCAAGGGTTTTGTGGTCAGAGATCCAAGCATTGACCAAAATGTGAATGGAAGCAGCCAAGATTTTCAAGAAACTGATGATGGTATTGGTGGTTGTAATATTGAATATGGTGGTGCTTTATGGGATATTTTTCGTAGGCAAGATGTACCAAAGTTGACCCAATATTTGACCAAACATCAAAAAGAATTTCGTGGCATTAACAATGCTCCTGTGAGCTCTGTGAGTATAGTATAAAACAAAATCGGGTGATAAACATCATAAATATACCAATCCAATTGAACTTTTTATTCATGCTTTAGGTTGTTCATCCTCTCCATGATCAAACCTTTTATTTTGATGAAAAGCACAAGAAACAGCTCAAGGAAGAATTTGGTAAGATAATATGAAGATTGACATTGCCTATAAATTAAATTCTTTAAAAAAATAATGATGATGATTCTTGATTGTAACTTTTTCAGGTGTGGAGCCATGGACATTTGAACAATACCTTGGTGAAGCTGTTTTCATCCCTGCAGGTTGTCCACATCAAGTTAGAAATAGACAGGTTGGTTAGATCATGCTCAAGTCTAATTAGGGTTTGCTTCTTTTTGACTTAATGGATTAAGCACTTAATGTAGACAGTCATATGGTGGTGTTTTTCTACAGTCATGCATTAAAGTGGCTCTTGACTTTGTGTCACCGGATAATGTTCAAGAGTGCATACGTTTAACAGAAGAGTTCAGATTACTTCCAAAAACACATAGATCCAAGGAAGATAAACTTGAGGTACATAATCAATTAGGGTTTCTAGTGATATGATACAATTAAAAAACACTGGTCTTGAATCTTGATTATAATGTTTTTGCAGGTGAAGAAGATGGGGTTGTATGCTGCGAGTCTTGTTATTGATGAAGCCAGTAAATTGATGATGAAAAACAAGTAAAGTTTCTTTGATAATTTCTGTCTAAAACCAAATATCTCTTGACTTTTTCATTGACTTTTTTTACAGTTCTGAATCGCAAACTGATCCTCCAATAGAGCAAGTGAAAGAAAATTTGGAGCAAAGTGTGGAATCAATGGAAGCTGACGTGTCAAGAGAAGGTAGTTAGAAAAAAAAAAACAAAAAAGTCCAAAATGGAACATATACAAGAAAGTTATGGTCTGTATCGATGTTGTATTTCTAATTTATGAGGTAGTGTAGCATTAGTTTCTTTTAGATAGATAATCTTGTCAAATGTTTTTTTTTTTTTTTTTCTTTTTTTGAGAAGGTTTGAAGTTTATCTGATTTATATGAAAATACAACGTTACATATGAATCACGTTTTAGAAGATCAAAAAAGTCAGAGGATCGTTGATGGTTTGCATGATGATAATAAAAAACATTATCTTTAAACTATCATAAAGATCCTTTACATATTATAATATTTATATTACAGAATCTCATTTGTAACATGGTGCAGGCCTGGATGTTGTTAAAAACTATTTTCTTGTAGTTGAATGATTGAAATGTTTATTCCAACAAACAAATCCTTTTTCCATGGTTAAATAATTAGTCGACTCAATTCCATTAAAAGTAAGTACTTCCGGCCAAATGAAAATAGTATTAGATGCATGCATCTTTTATTATGCTTATTTCCGATTTTAGTATTGCGTTTTGCATCTTAATATCATGCATTTTATACCTTTTTGGATACTACGTGCACAAGGGTTCAAAAATTGGACTAAAGAAGGCGGTTTTAAAGACGATAGATTTATTTTTTAAACATTGTAAACATTCTAATGAACATTTTCTAAATGTTGATTTGTTTTCCTGACTACAATTATGTGTTGTAATCGGTTTTAAGATGATCAGCTAAACCCCTAGGATTTCAACTTAAAAGTGTTTAATTTATTTTGTTTTATGTCTACTACTTTGGTTTGTATATTGGGAACCTGTTTTGTTTGGTAATGCACTAATGCATGTTTAGTGCCAATTAAACTCTTGGTTTTTACTTAATTTGAGTTGGCCACATCTTGTAGAATTATTGTATTTTTAGAACTTGCAATGGTTAGGAATAAAAAGTCAGTAACAATAATGAATGTGATTCTTAATTAAGCTTTGTTTTCATTATAAACTTGTTTTACATGTTTGAAACTCTTGAGAATTAATTTAAAGGGCCCTTAATTTATTAGGTTATTTAAATATTATCAGAAAATTATACCTTTTTTTTGTGTTGGTGAACCAACATATACCCTTTCTTGCTATTTCTACAAAGATCTAAAGTTTATTTGAACAAAAAACGAAGTAAAAGCGACATCACTCTGTTTGTATCTTGAATCCGACAACGACCCATACAGATCTTTGTTAAATCGTTTTAGACATTTGATGTATTTTCTCATATACCCATTTCTTGAAGAATTCCCAAAACACCGATAAATTTCCTTCAAAATCCAATCACTTTTCCGGTTTACAGGCTTTCGTCAACAGCCATGGCTGCTGTTGCTGCTCTGAGATCGAAGTCATCCAAAGCCACATCTTCTTTATCATCAGTCTCACAATTCAGATACTTTATTTCAACTCACCGTATGCACGGTGGTCGTATACCCAATTTCCAAGTCACTTCTTCAATACCTACAACAAACAAATTAGACGAATATTTCCCTCATCATCACCACCAACACCAATCTTTCAAACCGTTTTCCCTCTCCGGTGAACTTGTCGATAAGGGTTACGGTTTTTTCAAGAGTAATAATAAAAGGAGACTAGTCAATTTGTCCGGTGGTAAAGGTAGTGGTGGTTTCGGTGATCCGCCAGAGGTTTGGCAGCCTCCCGGGGATGGGATTGTTCCTCAGCCGGGTTTTAAGATGGTTCCGGTATCCAGCGGCGATGAGAGTGAAACAAGAACCGGTGGGTTCGGGTCGGGTTCTGGAGATGGGAATTGGGGAGGATCTTCGTTGGGGCATAGCTTCCCAACACCTAAAGAGATCTGTAAAGGGCTTGATAAGTTTGTGATTGGTCAAGAACGAGCTAAAAAGGTACTTGCGGTGGCTGTTTACAATCATTACAAGAGAATCTCTATTGACAGTTCGCGTAAGTAAGCACCTTACTCCCTCTGTCTAATTCCATTTTCTTGTTTTTATGGTATTTGATTCATTCAAGGCCTGCTGCAGGACATTCAAGAAATGACAAGACGAATGCCATGGATGATGATGATGCAGTTGAGCTTGAGAAAAGTAATATCCTTCTAATGGGGCCAACCGGTTCAGGTAATCGTTTTGGTTCTCTAATCCTCCACCATTTTCTTGTTTTTATGGTATTTGATTCATTGGATATGGCTTTCTGTTATTTATGCAAGTATTTATGATTGGTTTTGAGAACAGGGAAGACACTTCTTGCAAAAACATTGGCACGATTAGTGAATGTTCCTTTTGTTATAGCAGATGCTACTACACTCACCCAGGCATGTTTCTATTTTTTGTTTTTTAATATTTTATAATCTTTGGGAATTGGGATGCTCAAATTTCTAGCAATTTGCAGGCAGGCTATGTTGGAGAAGATGTGGAATCCATTTTATACAAACTCCTGACTGTATGTCCCTTAATAGTAATACCTGCAATTTCTACACTTGTATAACACTTTTTTATTTTTTATTTTATTTTTTATCTGATCATAACATTTAATTTCAGGTTGCTGATTATAATGTTGCAGCAGCTCAACAGGGCATTGTGTATATAGATGAAGTCGACAAGATTACAAAGAAGGTTTAGTTTCTTCACCTTTCAATTTCAAGCTTATGATAATGTTGAATTTTATAATATTGTTTCTTAATTTGTTGTTGTCACAGGCTGAAAGTGTTAACATTAGCAGAGATGTTTCTGGTGAGGGTGTCCAGCAGGCATTATTAAAGATGCTAGAAGGGACTGTAAGTTCTTGTTATTCCTTATATCAAATTATATACTATTAGTTTTATTATGTCAGAAAAAAAAAAGGAAATTTTGTTAATTTTATTAGAGTTGACACTTTATCCAGATAGTCAATGTCCCTGAAAAGGGTGCACGGAAGCATCCTAGAGGAGACAACATTCAGGTAAAAATATAAAATAAATCTCTTTAGTCTTTATAATTAACTAAACCAAATTATGAATTTTTTGATACTTATCTGTAAGAATATTTGTTACAGATTGATACTAAAGACATCCTGTTTATTTGTGGGGGTGCCTTTATAGATCTTGAAAAAACCATTTCAGAAAGGTATCTATCATTTACTAATTACTCTTTGGTGTTCATATATATTATAAATATATAATGGATTTTATTTTCAGACGCCAAGATTCTTCTATTGGTTTTGGTGCACCTGTTCGTGCTAACATGAGAACTGGAGGTGTTACATCTGCTTCAGTGACTTCAACTTTATTGGAGACTGTAAATCCCTACTCCTTTTTCTTTCTTCCATTAAGTAAGTGTATGTATGTATGTATGTGTCTGAATGAATTGTGTGTTTGTTAGGTTGAAAGTAGTGATCTTATTGCATATGGTCTCATACCTGAATTTGTTGGAAGGTTTCCAATTCTTGTCAATTTGTTAGCTCTTACAGAGCCTCAACTTGTTCAGGTACCTTTGTAGGCATTAATCAAACTACTTTTTGGTAGGTGTGTTTGTTTTTGTTAAAGTAAAGTGGATGAATAAATAATTAATGTTTTGTTTTGTAGGTGCTAACTGAGCCAAAGAATGCATTGGGGAAACAGTACAAGAAGTTATTTCAGATGAATCAAGTAAGTCTTCTTTCATCTCTCAAACACATTTACTAATGAAAAATGTTTGTTAGTAACTGTTTATTATTTTTTGCAGGTTAACCTACATTATACAGAAAGTGCTTTGAGATTAATTGCAAGAAAAGCAATAACTAAGAACACTGGGGCCCGTGGTTTGAGGGCCTTACTGGAAAACATATTGATGGATGCCATGTATGAGGTTTGTAGCTAAAGATTATTATTATTATTTCTTCTTTTTGTAATGAAAATGATGGAATGATAATTTATGAATGTATTGCATCAGATTCCTGATGAAAGAACAGGTAAAGATATAATAGATGCTGTGGTTGTTGATGAAGAAGCAGTTGGGAGTGGTGCTAAAATCCTCCATGGTCAAGGTGCTCTTGCCCATTATCTATCACAACATTTACAGGTAAACATCCTATATATATATATATATATATATATATATATATATATATATATATATATATATATATATATATATATATATATATATATATATATATATTTTATTAATTAATTTTACTATAAAAAAGATTTATGGTTGTATTTCTCTTTGCAGACGAGTGTAGATAGGGCGGCAGATGGTGGAGCCGAGGCGGAGATGGAGGCGGAGGCGGAGGCGTTGCCTTCTATTGCTGCCATGTAAATCATGGGAAAGATTGCATCAGTCACCATGTGTATGTATATATAGATAATATGTACTGATTTAAAGCTCTAATGAGAAACATTAATTTAATAATTAAATTTGTGTTGGATGCTTTCATCATTATTGCAATCAAATGTCAATATGTTGTATCATATCAGTAAAATAACATGATATAACTTTTTTTTTTTTTTTTTTTTTTTTTTTCATGCAATGAATCCAAGAGAATAAATGTCATGACTTTGTTAGCTTCATTTATTCTCCTCCCTACGTACGTACTTGATGTACACCCTGTCATAGTAATTATGATAATTTTAATTTTAACATCTCATAAAAGCTACATGTTTTAACGATTTATTTATGATTATTTCTTCCTTTTTATGATTTAAATGTGCTTCTTTACTGGCGAAAATCTTTGAATCTGATTGTAACTTGAAATCAAGCATGGGTGGATTAAGTGAGGATCTATCCCGACCAAAATAATGATTAAAAACCATTAACACAAGTTTGGAGGGAAAAGAAGTTATTAGATGTTGGTGATATGTCGTTTGATCACTTTGGTGGAGTGCCAAAGAGATTAGAGTGTGATATGATATAAATCTAACAGTGTGACATGGTTTAAGGGAGCCCGTGCAACCTAATTGGAATTCCAAAGTACAGGGAGCCCGTGCAACCTAATTGAAATTCCAAAGTACAAGTACAGTCAAAAAACACCTTGAGAAGTTACGGATTAGCATACAACTAGCATACAACGGGTGGATTTGACTAATGCTGACTTGTCGGTTTCGTTTTGTCATGAGTTGAGTTGGGGCCTACTTTGGTCAAGTTGGGGTTGACTTATCGGTTCAAGATAATTTGATGTCTTCAAAACTACATGCAACCTTTTGAAACCCGTTATTTTTGTTATCTGTATTTATTCTTCGGACAATCTACTCTACTATTATGATAAAAGACTTCTATACATTTCACATGATACCTTTTTACACTTTTATTTTGCCACTTGACATCTCCTTAGTGAAGCATTCTCTCTACTTCCCGCTCATTCCTTGATCCTTATTTTGTTCTAGCTTGCAAACAATCCCCTATAAATCAACAATTGATCATAAATTTGAATTTTGAAAGAGTTCATTGATAGAGTTTCTATTTATAGTCAATAATATTTCTCTTTATACGTAAGATCCCAATTTTTATGGAAGAAAAATAATTCTTCTTCATTTCTTTCACACACACTCACAGTCGACAGGGTCACACCCGTACTAGCCTTTCTTTATCGCTGCCACCACTACTCGCCTTCCCCACCCAGGTTTGCTTTCTCCGCTGCTCTTTGCTTCGTGTCTTTGTGTCTATGTGGTGCTCAGAGTGGAAGAGACGAGACAGGTAATGTAGATTATGGAAGATATGGAAGGAAAATTAACATCATCGCCACCACCACTATCTCGACCATCACTACCACTACTCATCGCCGCAGGTAATTTTCAGAAATATAAACAAATTCAAGGTAATTTGATTCAAATAAAACCCTAGAGGAGGCTAGCATGCATTTGGATCAATCTAGTGAGTATTATTGGTAACAAATGAAATTACCCTCTGTCGAAATTTATCTTTATTTTTTTCTTTCTTAACTAACTCTTGGAATTTTAGAGCTTAAAGCACCCCTTCACAACCTATGATTCTAATTTGGGCCCTTTTTTCATTACTTCATATAATAAACATGTATCGTTAAAATTAATAGAACCTAGGGCTATTTCAAGACAACAGTAAATAAAATCATAATTTTTTAGTTATATGGTTTGCTGTCAACTGTAAATTTTAGATCAAGCATGGTATATTCTGGACCATTACATTATAGAATTGAGTATTTACTTGGTTTTTATTGACTTTATGGTAATATTGTTGAAAAGCCCAAGGCACAACAAGTAAGAAATATATTTCGATAGTCTAAATGGTAATTTTACTTTCCTTCAAGATATTTCCGTAAGAATGTTTGGTTTGTAACGACCCAATTTTCAAAAGAAATTTATTTTGATTAACCAAAACACTGTCCACAAACCATGAAATCCCAAATATAATTGTTTTCAAAATTCATATTAAGTACAATTTTATTTCAAATCATCAGAGTGTCCCATAAGAAAATGTCTGAGATAGTACACGCCGCGCCATCAAGCCTTGCCCTTGCCCTTGGGCTCAAATGTATGTAACATCTTGTTTCAGATTGTTCGTGATTAGGGTTCGTGGGCTGCAACCCAAGTATGAGGAAGCCTCGAGGCTGCGACAAGTTGCTAGAAGTGTAGGGCTTCTCGTCACCTTTCCGTGGATATGAGGTTCATTGGAAACAGAGTTAGATCGAGGCATCTATGGAAATTTGAAGTTTTGTCAAGATAAGTCCCTTATTTGAGAAAGGTGGCAGCTGAGTACGCTGAGCGTACGTGTGAGGACGCTTAGCGTACTCATGTGCGTGACTTTTAAGCAGAGCCACCTAGTACGCTGGGCGTACTAGGCACAGAGTGAAAACCCTAAATGAGGGGGTGTCCATATATAAAGAATAAAATGGCCTCGTTCCTGACCACCATCCTCAGACAATCAACCCTCTCAAACCCTAATCCTCGTTCTTAAGCTTGCGTAGGTCCATTTGAGAGCATTTAAGTGCTATTGTGTGTTCTTGGAGTGAAGAAGGAGCTTTGAAGAAGAAGGAGGGGAGTCCAGGTTATAGATCTGAGCATATATGTGTTGGGAGCTTCATTTGGAGGTATAAAGCTCAAAGTTTTCTCACTATTTTGTTTTGTGCATCATGTTAGACCATTTTAGGGTTTTGGTCCCAAAGTTGCATGCTTTATGAGAAAATGAGCTCCAGAGATTATGAGCAACTCCTTTGAGTGTCTTTAGGAGCGTAGCGTCATAAAAATCGAGACTTGGACGTTTGAACCAACCCATGCATGAGATATGAGCATTTTGAGATTAAAAATGAGAGTTTTGGGTGTTTGTGGCTTTATCAGCCATGCAGGATATCTCGTCTCATACGACTTCAACTGTCACGAAGCATATGCTATCACCTGCCCTCTCTGCATGAGTACCGCTCCCATTCCGGTGATATATGTGTCATAGAATACCACAAAATCCTCAACTCCTTCCGAAAGAGTCAGGATTGGAGCCTCGTAAAGTCTCTAGCATGGAGTCCCAAATGCACACTACTGCTCAGGGCCCCACCGGAAATCCACCCCTTCATCCTCGGACGAGTGAGGGGTACCGCAATCTTGAAGAAATCTTGTATGAATCTCTGGTAGTACCCTACCAATCCCAAAAATCTCCTGATATCTGAGGGAGATTTCGGAACCTCCCAATGCATAACCACCTCGATCTTGGCCGGATCAACCAAAATCCCCTCATGGTTAACGATATGTCTAAGGAACTCTCGTAACCAAAACTCGCACTTCAAGAACTTGGCATAAAGCCGCTCTTATCTCAAAACTCCCAGAAATTCCCGGAGATGCTCCTCGTGTTGCTCTCTGGTCTTGGAGTACACCAAGATATCATCTATAAACATAATGATTGAGCGATCGAGCATCAATCTGCATACCTGATTCATCAGGTCCATAAATATAGTCGGTACGTTGGTGAGCCCAAACGGCATCACCATGAACTCGTAATGTCCATAACGAGTTCAGAACGCGGTCTTCTGCACGTCCTCCTCCCTAACTCTGACCTGATGATAGCCAGACCTCAAGTCTATCTTGGAGAAGCAAGATACTCCCTATAACTGATCAAATATATCATCTATCTGTGGGAGGGGGTAACGGTTCTTCACTGTCAACTTGTTCAACTCCCAGTAGTGAATGCACATCCGGTGTGAACCATCCTTCTTCCCTACGAAGAGAATCGATGCTCCCCATGGAGAACTACTCGGTCGAATGAATTGCTTGCCTAGCAGTTCCTGTAACTGAGATGACAACTCTTGCATCTCTGGTGGTGCCAATCGGTACGACGCCTTGGCGATAGGGGCCGCACCTGGCACTAGGTCGATCCTAAACTCGACCTGCCTCTCCGGAGGCATTTCATGCAACTCCTCTGGGAACACATCAACGAACCCCCTGACTACTGGAACCTATGAAACCGAGGTCTGATCCCAGACCCGCGTATCTACCACATACACTAGATAACCTGCACACCCGTGCAGAATATACTATCGAGCCCTGGCAGCAGAGCAGAACCCTGAACCTAACCTGGTGCCCTCGCCGAAAAGGACCAGTTCTCCCCCACTTGGGGTTCGAACTACCACCCGTTGGCCCTCACAATCGATCATGGCACCGAAGTGACTAAGCCAGTCCATACCCACAATCACACATACATTCCCCATGGGAATCAGAATCAAGTCTATCGGAAAAGATATCCTGAAGATCTCCAACACACAACCCCGATAGACTGAATAAGTGGAAATCTCGTGTTCGTTGGCGATAGAGGCTCGCAACGGACAATCTAGCTCTCCTACTGGCAAACCGAATTCCCTACTGAATGACTGAGAGACAAATGACCGACTCGCCTCCGAGTCAAATAATACAAAAGCAGGTAAGGAGTTCACTAAGAATGCACCTAACATGGCACACATATATAAGCATAAAATAAATATAATAAGTAAGACAAAGGATAGAAACATTGGCTGTAAGCTGGAAGGCACGTCCTGAGCCCTCGGAGGCCCTGCTCTACCCTGACTCCCGTTAGTAATCCTCATTGTAGCCAGCTCCGCAGCCTGCGCCTGCCTGACAGTGAGCTGTGGACAGGTGGTCTTAACGTGATCAGCCTGATGGCAGTGGTAGCAGATCCTCATATCCTGAACAGGGGCTGGCTATCGGCAATCTCTTGCAAAGTGCCCTCATTGCCGCATTTGCAGCACGCATTACCAGATCTACAAACCAACGAGTGACCTTTCCCGCACTTGCCACAAGTGCAGCCATGCTGGCCTCCCGACCTAGAATCAACGGTCTTAGACCGCTTTGGAGCCAGCTGTGACGGCGATGTGGCCTGCCTCTGCTCCCTTAACTGTAACTCGATCTCAAGCTCATGCCGCTTAGCGACCTCCTATAACTCCATCAGTGTATCATGATGCTGGGTAGCAACAAACTGACGTATGTCAGTCTTGAGCATGCTTAGATAATGTGTCATCTAAGCCTGCTCGGAAGAAAACTCTGGGTAGAAC